TTAGTTTAGTTATATTAGTTACTTAACGTTAACTTTAAGTTATTACCTAGTACGTATACTACTAGTATAGTTTTATTATACTACACTATACACACACACACACACACACACACACACACACACACACACACACACACACACACACACACACACACACACACACACACACACACACACAATTATTGTAGTAGTTATTTTGTTTTTGCAATTTGCTTTTAAGAAAATTATTTTTAGTCTTTGAGGGTACTCTAACTGAGGTTTAAGAATGTTCAGCATTTGGCAGAGTCCGAGGTGATCATATTTTCTTCAGTAATCTTGTTTTCTTTTTGCTGTTAGGTAAAATTTCCTTCAGAATATAACCTTTATTGGTCAGTATTTCACTTTACAGCTTCTTCAGGAGCAGTATATAACTTAAGTTCACTATTCAACATGATTAATAAAGTTTTCACGTTGCCTGAGAAGATAATTCCTGTGCATGTGATTTTACATTGATCTGAATGAGCTTTGAAAAATCATTGTATTTAATCAATCATTTCTTTCTTTTCCATTGCAAATATTTTTCAGTAACCTTTTTGGTTTGTTTGATGAGAATGGAAAGTTTGTACCTGTCTGTTATTTACTTTTTATTTTGAATTTTTCTATGAAGTCTTGGCTTTTTCTTCTTTAAGAGAGTTTAAGCAGAGAATAGTGCACTGAATTAAAAACTTTTATGGACTGCATATGTTTATAGTTCTATTTTGGATTGTGTTTTGCATTCTCTTAATTTTTTTTATTAATGGATAAATTATTTGTTATTTTTGAATAAATAATGAAGCAATAACACTGGTATTGTTTCATCTATAATTTAATTTTATATACTTTGTTTATTTAGCATGTTTATTTAATATAATAACAGAAAGATGGTGTGTTTAGTTTGTTACAAAGATACCTTAATAAATTTGAAATATGAATATTGCTCTGCTTGTTCTTCCTGGATTTGCTTTGTAATTTTAATATGCATGAATAGATTGTATGTGGACTTTGCACATTTGTACATATTGTAGGCCCCGTTCGTCGTAATCCTATAACAGGGGAGGTGTACGATGATACTGCTAATGTGAATGGACATGCAAATAGAACAGGTATGCTTATGATGTTAAGAATTCTGCTATTGAAATCTGAGGTGGCATACATACAGAAACATATTATACTGTTAAAATCTTGAGTGGATTATGCTTGTGACATTTTTACACTCTTGTCATTGAGGTGTTACTTCCTTAGTGTGTTTTATTCACTAGATATTTTGGCTAAAAGACATTTTTATACCAATTTTAATTGTACAGCTACAGTGGTAATCATGTTAAGAAAAATGTACTTTGATTCTTACCCCCCCCCCCCCAAGTCCAATTATTTATAACCCTAGCCCAATTTTATGCCTTTTTTTTTCTTTATTATTATTATATCTTTCTGAAATATTATTCTATATTGCCTCTAAAAATGTGAAAGTAGAAAATTGCATGTAGTAATATGAAGAATTGACTTGAAAACTACTGGAACACTACATGTGGCTCCTAATAATAAGTTACTTTTATTTTGCTTTTTTTGTTTTAAAGGAAACTTCTTCAAAAGCAGTCTGTCAGCATAGAGGGGGGGGGGGGGTGTTTGGATGTAATTTCGAATCAGATGTATCAAACATGATATTAATAGAAAGGACATTTAAGGTTAAAGATTGTTCTTAATTGTCTGCGAGTTTGTGGGATACAGATGTTTTTATCTACTCAAGAACTTTTTTTATTAGCCAAATAAAGGATGTTGTGAGACAATTTACTAAAACAATTTGATTCTAAAATATTTTTTAATTGTCCATTGTGGTACTAAAATAATTTTGTATTATGGTTTTAATTGAAATGGCTTACCTGGTAATTCTCTTGTATGTTTGTTAAACATTATTTAAGACTTTAAAAATTCTCTAAACAAAATTTATCATTCGTAAACTTGTTTTAATTCTACTGGCCTAAAATGTATAAAGAAAATTATGTAGTTTTAATTGGTTTTTAGTTGATTCTAAGAGATTGTGAAAGTGTGGCTATTCAGAATCAAAATCAATAAGCTTATTTTTGAAGCCCATTTAAGTTGGGTAATAAAGTGGTTTTTTCATACTCCCCTTTTCTGTTAGTAATTATGAAACTCCTACACATTTGTATAATAATTATGAAGTTGTTGATGATAAGTCCAGAAAATTGTATTAATTGGTTTCACAGAATAAATGTCCCGATAAGGATAAGCTTCATGGATAATTTGTATAGGCCTCTTAGATATTTTCCATTTATTTAGTTAGCTGTAAGTATTAAGCAGTTGGTTTGTATGCAAGATTCACATGTTAATTATTAAATATGAAATTAGTTAAAGTATATAGCACAAGTTTAGGTTAGAGTATTCTAAGCATCCCACCATTCAAACGTCAGGGATAAAGTTGTATTAAATAATCTGTTTGTAATATGGAAACTTTTTTTTCACTTGTTGTATTTTCTTTTATAATTTACATTGCATGTACTATTAGCAACTGTGGCAGAAACAATACGAGGAATGACAGAAAATGTATCATGGAGTTAAATTGAACTTTTGGCTCTGACTAATTAAAAAAGAAAAAAAAAAGACCCAAACATAAATGTGAAACAATGTTCAAAGTAATCTTTATTAAATAACAAAAGTATATCTATATATATATATATATAATATCCTTGACCTTTATCATATTTCAGTTTAAGATTGTTCTGGGTTAATAATAGCTGTTTTAACAGTAGAATCACCAAATCCAGTTACTGGCAGTGGAGATCCAGGTTGTCCAGTCCAGCCATGTGTTCGTGTTAGAAATCCTCCTGGCGGCAAATCCTCTGGAATATTCTAAAGTGTTAGCCTGCAAAATTACCTTTGACTGACATTATGCCACTGAATTGTGCTATCTTTCCTCTTTCATAAAAACAGTTTTGCTCAATGTTGATACTCACGCATTCAATTAAACATTCCAGAAGTTTTCTGAAAATCTTTCTTAAAGTTTTATACTAATAAATTACATATTTTCTCTTGTAGATTATGATTTTATATAAACCTAAATGCTTTTAGCTTTTTTTGGTAAAATATATTGCTTAGAGAATTTATTAGTTTTAAAAGCATGTAATTTTTATTTCTATAATTCTATTTATTACAATATTTTCTAACAAGTATCTTTCTTTTCCTTTATTTTATTTAGGTGTTTGAGTTAGTTACACTGCAGGTATGTTTGTCTGATATCTTTCTTGCAACTCTTAGGCATATTATACTTGAAACAAAAAAGTTCACTTTTATATTTGAACCTGAATTCCACTGCATTTAAATTTTGGGTTATGGGTAAACAGTGTAATATTATTTATCTGAAAAAATTTCTAGTGACTTGCTTGTTGTTAACCATATAACATATTGTAATACTTAATGAATAGAAATTCCACATTAAAAATAAAACCAGAGCTATGGGGCCACCAAAACACACATGTTAGCAGCGAAGTTTCTTGTGAAGCATTGAATAGCTTAAGTTAAGAAATGACAGTTTGTGAAACGTTTATGTATTGTACTTTTCATTTAAAAGTGATTGTTATAATTTGTTTGTACCTTAAAGGGTTTGCACTTTACATTTTACGAATAAAAGTTGTGGAATATAAATTTTGTGAAATTATTCATGATGGACACATTAATTCATACATAATATATGTTTAGTAGATGCAAAAATATACTTTTTAACTTGAATGGCCAGGTGGTTAGGGCTCTTGACTCGCAATCTGAGGGTCACAGGTTCAAATCCCCATCCAACCAAACATACTCACCCTTTCAGCCGTGTGGGTGTTATAATATGATGGTCAATCCTGTTATTCGTTGGTAAAAGAGTAGCCCAAGAGTTGGCAGTGGGTGGTGATGACTAGCTGTCTAGTCTTTCACTACTAAATTATGGATGGCTAGTGAAGATAGCCCTCTTGTAGCTTTGCATGAAATTCAAAACAAGCTTTAATTTTCATAGCATTTTGCTATCATTTATTACTTTCACTCCTGGAGGAAGTGGATGGGGTTATTACAATGAAATCTGTGTATCTCGTATCTTGTATCTAAAACTGATAGACTGATGTACACAAACATTTTACACAAGATGGGAAATTAGTATGGGATAGTCCTCCCCAAATTTGATCCATATCTGGATTACTTTGAAGCATTTTCATAATGGGAAGATGGAGCATTATTAGGTTTAGGGTTGATAATGCTAAAGTGTTACTGGATTTGTACCAAATTTCATTGACACATTAAGGTTGAGACTCCTCATCATACTACAAAAAATGATCCAGATTGTTGACCATTTTTGGATCTGAGAAGGATTTTCTGAGTTTTCAAATGTGAAATTTGATGTTATTCAATATAAATGCATGCAGTATCAAGAAAGAATGGTGGGGCAAGAGTATGCAATTTCTGTAATTGCTCTTGTTAAATTTTCTAGATTTAAAATTGGCTTAAATTACCTTAATACTTATTGGTTGTGCCCACAAGTTTACTGTGAAAATTAGTCATTTACGAAGTCTGAATACCATGTAACAACCTGCTATATCCTATGTTTAAAAGAAAACATCTTTTTACATTTTGGATAAGGCTATTAAATCTCAAAATGTGCTATGAACATTTGTAAGTTACAGCAGTAAAAATGAGGGCTAGTAAACATTTAATATGAACACGTGTTAGGCTTTAAAAGCCTTGTTGATTTACTATCTTAAACATTTGAAATCACCAACATAATATTTTGAACTTGCAGTTGTGTTTCCTGGTAAAGATTTGTGTTCTGTTTAAAAGAACATTCTACAAAGTGAGATTTTTATTTAACCAGTTCAGAAGCTGGTTTGGCTCATCATTGTCAAGTTAACCAGCCATAAGAAATGTTTGAGTAGGACAATATGGTTCAGCAAGGTAACAGTTAACCTTGATTGCACGTGGCTTAGTTAATTTCTGTGGATAAAAATCAGTAGTGTTTCAAATTGTTTACATTCTTTTAAAATTGGATCATTAAGCAGTTATTACTGTTTGAAGCTCCAATTGCAGTTTAAAAAAAAAATAGTCTGTGGTTTGAGAAATGTAGAGTCAAGTAGTTCCTTTTTAATAACTTTTATGAAGTGGCACTTAGAACACGAGATGTATGATTCCTCAAAAATTTAACTGCAATGTTTAAAAAAACTAACATTATGCTTCCTTTAAGATACACACATGCACACACAAGGTTATGTTCTTAACTTGAAATATACCTTACTAGCAATATACTGTCTTAGCATTACTCATTACTTAATTTGCATTTGTTAAATTTTCAAAACAAAAATCCTAGGTTTAAGTGCTTGGTGGTTATCATGACATGCTTGGCAATCTAAAAAAAAAAATAGTACTTCATTGTTGGTCTTGTTGAGCTATTTATGTTACAACATCCAAGTATTAGTTAACACATTTTAAGACTTGAAGATGTACAGAGTAAAAAAAAAACATAAAGTAAAATATATGTTTATGTATATAACTGCCAAAATACAATCTTTTCAGGAAGAAATGTTTGAAATAAAAGGCTTTATCTTTCAGAACACCACTGGTAACATCTAAGCATAGAAGTTCTTTATGTGACATAGTTGTAAAGCTGTGGTATATTTAGATCCTTTCCTTTCAGAAATATAAGTTCTTTGTATATGAAGAACTCTTGTATATAATTGATACTTGAAACCATTGGTACTTGGTGAAACTCCACAATTACAGAATTGAGGAAAAACAAAACAATTGTATGTTTCACAAATACTTCATTTATTACATTTGTAATTTGTACATTTGTAATAAATGAAGTATTTGTGAAATGTACAATTGTTTTGTTTTTCCTCAATTCTGAAGCTATGGAGTTTCACTAAGTACTGATGGCTTCAAGTATCAGTTATATAAAACAAGCTAGTACAGCAGGATTAACTGTCTTATACAAAAGACTGAAAATGAAACAGTGTTTAGCAACTCAATACCTTTGGTTCAATAACAAGTGTGTGACATGGAATCTCACCCCCGAAATACATCTCGGTGAAGACCACAAACACTTCAAATTCAGCCAAGAAGACCTTGGTATCAGTTTTATGTGATAAATGAAATATTTGTGAAACTTAAAATTTTCTTGTTTTTCCTCAATTCTGTAAGAACTCTTGTAATATGTAACATCATCAATATAAACTGTAAACTATCTCATTTTAAGAATTTGCATAATTTTGGTAAATTATTAAAATTCATATCATAAATTGCATGAAATATTTATTTTTGAGAATGTGCTTCATAATTTTTCTTAATACATGTCATAATTCCTGCCTTTTGTATATTGTTTTCTTTCTTTTGTCATTTTATGCACTTAAGCATTTTGTTTTTGAAAACTAGTAATCTTATTATTTAAAATCATTCCACTGTACAACATAAATTAAGTTTTATTTGAATTCTTCAGTGAATATATTTGATAGCCATATATTTATTTTGAATGAATCACATTTGTACAAAAACAAAATTAGTAAAACATTAATTTTAAAGTTTGCTATTTTATTCACGGTTACTTGCCTATCTACGGCTGTTCCACCTTTGTCAAAAGGGCTTTCATCCTACAAAGTTTTCTTTTTATTGTCAAAAGTCCATTTAGGCTAATTCAATTGCTTTAGAATCCAGTTGACAAACTAAACTATTTTTCTATACTTTTATCACAATAGTATCGGTGAATAATTCACTTGCACTGCCTCATGGGTTACCACAGTTGTATTCTGAATTTCCAACAATTGCCTTCTTGTCAAATTTCGCGCATGCGGGTTCAGTTAGTTTAGAACACCCTTTGACAAGACAAATTATTCTGCCTTTCTCTATCAAACTGTTAATCTCACTTTAAAATATCAACTGTTAAGGCTATTCACTCCCAAGATGGTTAACTTCATATTTTCTAACTTTTCTCTGATTCAACTTCTCTTTCACTTGATTTTACTTTTACCTCGCTCTCTCTCGTTTGGTAGCCACTATTTATATGTTTATCATTAAGGCCTCTAGAATATTCTATAGCCTTGACACCAATGAATTGCAAACACAAGTATGATTCTTAGTGAGTTACGTAACCAAACTTGTCATGACTATTGCCTTTAAAATAATTGTTTTTAACTCTCTTATTATGAAAAACTCAACAATCATTAAATATTAACCCATAAAATAAATTAAATAATAATGCCTATACTACGCAGTCTTTTATATCCAACAGAATACAACACAGGAAATTAAAGGTCTTTATCATATCCATCCCCAAATAATTGTGTCAATTTAAATTTGGGGATAATCGTTTAAAATTCTTATCTTATGAGAAAATACAACTTGACATCGTCCTACAAGTTAATGTCATCAGCAACTTTACCAATTTTCTAGTTATGCCCTTTAAACATCATTAATTTTATAAAGAAAAAGGGCAAGCACTGACCCACAAGGTGCACACTTAGAAATAATGATTCAATTTGACAGGACTCCATTTATAAATTTTTGGCTTCTCTCACTCAGCCACACTACAAAACAACCAGGCTTTCTGCAACTTCTGTTTACCTGAATTTCTTAGCTAATCTTTTGTGTGGCACTTTATCAAAAGTTAATTTAAAATATAAGTACACTATATCCACACCCTTTCCATCTTCTAAAAACATAATGGATTAATAAGGAAAGATTTCCCTTTGATGAATACATGGTGTATTTCTTTCTGAACTTATTTCACTAAATGATTTTGTAGAGCTTCTTTTGTCTCTCTAGAATTTTCAACACTATAAAAAGTCTAACTTATCTGTTCTATAATTTTTAGGGCAACTTTTATCACCCCTTTTAAAAATAGGAGTAACATTAACAACTCTCCATTCCTCAAGCTCCTATCCATTTTCTATTAATGTACCAAAAATGAAAGAGAGAGAGAAATGCATATCTGATCTTTGCCCTCTTTTAAAACCCTGGGGAAAGCCATATCTGGTCCTGTGCCTTGTCTATATGTCAATTGCACCAAAGGATTAATATCTACATGATTCAGGTTAATTTCAATATGTAAAAAAAGAAAAGAACAATTAAGAGTGCAGCCATCTCATATTGTTAAACAAAAATCTTGCCAGCAGTGTCCATCTCTCATTTCGTTTACCTTTAACAGACCTAAAAAAACTTTGCTGTTAGTTTTAACATTATAAGATAGGCTTTCCACATAAGTCATTTTAGATCTCTCTCTTTTTTTTTAATCTGTTCCAGACGGGTCATGGGTGAAGAACATTTAGGTATTAATAGAAAACTAATCCAACAAATAAAAGCTTCATTCCAGAGAAGAACATTTAGGTATTAACAGAAAGCTAATCCAACAAATAAAAGCTTCATTCCAGAGAAGAACATTTAGGTATTAACAGAAAGCTAATCCAACAAATAAAAGCTTCATTCCAGAGAAGAACATTTAGGTATTAACAGAAAGCTAATCCAACAAATAAAAGCTTCATTCCAGAGAAGAACATTTAGGTATTGAAAGGCCATGTCATCGCGTTTGTTGACTCACATTCAAAATTTTATTGAACTACTATTTCGTGAATTTATGTCAATAAGTTTGTTATCGAACTGTAGATTATAATTAAAATGTCAGTACT